GTTGTAGTTGTAGTGTAGCGTATTGGAGTGTAGTGTGGTGTAGTGGTGGTTGTAGTGGTGGTTGTAGTTGAAAATGCTACAAAACCCTCACGTTTTGCTCATTTTTGACAAGGTGCACAATCCCTTGCGCCTGCCACGCGAAACGACATCCGAACCTCCAAAAGTGGCGCGAACATGTGGTGCTTTGTACATTTTGACTTGGAAATGTGCTATGCGCCACAACGGTGTGCAATTTTTCATCTCTCATCTGGCCAGCTGGCTCCGCACCCGCCGCTTTAGCGAGCCTACTTTTCGACCCTCCAGAGCCACCAATCATTTGAAAAACACAGTGTTTCGCGACTTTCCTACCTTTTCGTGCGTCTGCATCTTCTTTCTTCTGACTCTTTCTCTTCTCTGATCTTCTCTCTTCTAATCTTTCTCTTCTCTCTGCCTGCCCTGCTCTGCTTTTCATCTGCCCATATTGTCGGAAGTTTGACTTCTAAACTTCCTTCGATCAAATAGCTGCTAAATAGCTGCTAAATAGCAGCTATATTTTTTTTAGCAGTTGCTAAATAGCTACTCAATAGCTGCTAAATAGCTGCTAAATAGGTGATAAATAGCTGCTAAATAGCTGCTAAATAGCTGCTAATTAGCTGCTAAATAGCTTCTAAATAGCTGTCAAATATTTGCTAAATAGCTGCCCATCAGTTGCAAAATAGTTGCTTAATAGTTGCTAAATATTTCCTAAATAGCTGCCAAATAGCTTCTAAATAGCTGCTAGCTAGCTGTCAAATTGTTAATATATAAGTAGTTGCTAAACAGTTTCTCCATAGCTGCTAAATAGCTGCTACATAGGTGCCAAATGTTTACTAAATAGCTGCACAATAGCTGCTACAAAGCATTTAAGTAGCGGCTAAATACGTGCAAAGTAGCTGCCAAATATTTTCTAAATAGATGCCAAATAATTGCTAAATAGTTGCTGAATACAGACTAAATAGTTGCCAAATAGTAGCCAAATAATTACTAAACAGATTTGAATAGCTGCTAAATAGCTTCTAAATAGCTCCTAAATATTTTCTAAATAGGTGCTCAATAGTTACTAAATAGTTACTAAATAGCTCCTCAATAGCTGCTAAATAGCTACTAAATAGCTATTCAATAGCTGGTAAATAGAACAAGGAGGTGAATGGATTCACGTGACTTTGGAATATTCAAACTGCTGACGTATTTGTTTGGATTCTTCTAACTGCTAGCAGGGTTCTATACACTTATAAATATAGGGTGTGTGTATATATATATATACATATATATATATGAGATACGGTCAAAATAAGCGTAGATTACTTTAGTAAGGGAGGGTCCAATCGTGTTGAGAAAATGCACCAAACCATGTAAAGCGATAGGGCCCCTCCCAAAAAGCGATAACCTGTAACCATCTGTGGGCAAAATTGATGAAAAATCAACCTGCAGTGCCCGCGTTTCTTGCAGTTGCCATTTCATTTGCTGTCCAAGGTGATTGAGCCATTGCTTTCTGCAGGCAGATTGTTTTTTTCTTCCCAGGTCCCAAAGCAGTAGAATTAAACCAAATTGAACGCAACCAAATTCTGAATTAAGCAAACAATAGATTGAAATCTAATTCTGAATGCCCTTTGTGTGTTTAGATTTAATTCGAATTGCGTCTTCCTTTGTTTCCTTTTCTTTTTCTGTTTTTCTTGTTCCTTCTTTTTTCAGTTAAAACTAAACGCAATTGAATTCTGAACCAAATCAACTCTGATTACGAATCTTGTTCTGAATTCCATCTATTACATGTTTGATTTGTCGTTTCTTCTTCCTTTGTTTCCTTTTCTTGTTCCTTCCTTTCTCCTTCTGTTTTTTCAGGTGTCCTTTTTGTTCTACGTTCCTCTTTCCTTTCCTTTCTTGATCGTCAAAATGTTCCAATTTAGCGATAACCTTAGCGATAACCTTTTGTTGAAAAAGGGACCCCGGAGGAGGGATAGACTCATTTGATCCCAAGAAGAAGAAGGGCTCAACAAAAAAGTGAACAGGTTCTCGACACCAGGCCGCCACGTTGTATTCAGACTTGGGGAGCCTAATGCACTTCTTCATAGCTACGAACGCTTCTTTTTTGGAACCATTGGTCTATATCAAATACGGTCTTTCTAGTTCGGAGATGAGATCGTAACAGATTTCCTTGCTTAGGAAAGAGTCTAGGAATGTGCTTAGATAGCTCCCCAACATGGTTGCAAACGCAAAGACAACGAAAGGCCCTTAATCCATCCCCGGCAGTTTAGATCTGAATCCGTGAAGCTAATTCCCTTGCATTTTTGCAGTATTTCGTGTTGATTTGAACAAAACACTGGAAAGCGATAGGAACACCCCCAAAGAGCGATAACTTATATTTTTGTACCAGGCATAAACAATTGATTTTGACGGCGGCTCATATATATATATATATATACATATCATATTTATATATATAGATATATATATATATATCATATATATATATATCATATATATATATATCATATATATATATATATCATATTTATATTTATATATATATATATCATATATAGATATATATATATATCATATCATATATATATATATATCATATATATATATATATTTATCATATATATATATATCCTATATATATATATCATATATATATATGATATATATATATCATATATATATATATCATATATATTTCATATATATATATATATCATATATATAAATGATATATATATATATATGATATATATATGATATATATATGATATATATTTATATCATATATATGACACATACATATATATATATATATATATCCTATATATATATAAATAGGATATATTTATATAGGCAGTATATGTATATATGTATGTATACATATACATAGGATATATATATATAGATTTATTTATTGGCAGGATGTATATACATATATGTATAAAGGATATATATATATATAATATATATAATTCATATATATATATATATATATGTAGGAATGGAGTTGTTGTTAAGAAGGGTGAGTTGGGAATAGGTTTCAACTTCTCAAAGCGACCTAACTTTGAGAGATATATAAACTGTTAGACGTTCAACTTATTTTTTTCGGCGAGTAATTTCGAAGGTGTTTGATACATGAAGCTGTTTGCTTTCTTTGGCGGTTGGGCGGACACAAATTGACAACACGGTGTGGGATGGATTATTCAATAACCAACTGTTTGTCCCAGGGAAGAGTTACTGGGGCCACCCGGTTGGGATCATATGCTTCTTGCCAATGTTGCCACAATGTGAGGTGATGTTGCAATGGGACATCTTGATATTCAAGATGACTACCCAAAGTGAGTTCTAGAGATCAAAGCATCAACATTTACTTTCAATGATGACTGGCTGTTGCTTATGAAGATTAAAAGTCTGGTTCTCCAGATTCCTCATGAGTTTCCAGCCCCTGACATCACTGGAGGACATTGACCACTTGAATGAGCAGAGCCTCGTGGAGTCGGATTACACGGTGAGTGTCGAAGCCAGGTCGCCGGGCAATGGTAGAAAGACTGAACTTTTTCAGCCCGGGTGAAGCAATGAGCCTTAGGGTGTCCAACAAACAAAACTGATCTTCAAATGAGAGCACTTTGATAAACAGTACTTTGATTCTCTCTGATTTACTTCGTAAGCAACCCCAAGAACTTTAGGCCGTCCGGTGCCCAGGTGCCTGATCAATTGGAAAGCCTAGTGGCCTAGTGGAAAATGATGTGTTGGTTTGTTTAAGCTTGGGCTCAACATGGATCCGAATCATCCAAAATGTATGACATTGTATCTCTTTTCATGTCTAACGTTACAGATCCCGTTTGTCCTCGAAAAGTATCGTCTCAGCGCTACCCGCCCTACCCAAAGATATCAGTTTCGATCAGTTCTTGCGGCTACAGATCGCCCAGGTCGCTACCTCCATCCTTTAAGGCGAGTCAGGCCTGTGACCTGGAAATCTTATCATGTCTGGCGCAGAAGGGGAACGATGTCCTGCTGCGGAGCAAGATTGCCCAAGCAGCCACCCGATGACCATGGCAAGGGCTACCAGATCTTGGAGATGTCTTAAGAGGTAATCAGACAACTCATGATGACAAGCCTGAGTCAGCAAAGATAAAACCAATCATGACAAACTCAATGCATGCAAAATGATTGCGACCATCTCTGCTTGTGGTTAATATTAATCTGGCTTGCAATGATGGTCAAAGCACCAGAGATTGCGCGTCCACAGACGTGCTCATTTTACATACATCACTGTTGCATCATTATATAATTATACATATTATACATAATTATATTATGACTATGTTATTATATGTTATTGTACTATATTCTACTTTTAAATTAATATAACTACTGTTGTTATGCCAATTTTATACTATTATAATATTATTTCCTTACTCGTGTAAAACATATTCTTTTGTACCAGTAGTACCGCACAAGGCGGTGGTGGAAGTTTCAAAAATAAGAAACCTATAGGAGAGGTTGGTTGTTGTGAATCAGGGATGGCAGAGCGAATCCACTGATGGACCGAAAGGTGCTTGAGGTCACCTACCTACCCATCTATCTTCTATGTATCTATCTATCTATCTATCGATCTATCTCTCTCTCTCTCTCTTTCATCTAATTACCTATCTATCTATCCATCTATCTATCTATCTATCTCTCTCTCTCTCTCTTTCATCTGTCTATCTGTCTAGCTGTCTACCTGTCTATCTGTCTATCTATCTATCTATCTGTCTATCTGTCTACCTGTCTATCTGTGGCATTCAGTGTAATGTAGTGTAGAGTAATGCCAGTGTAGTGGAATGTAGTGTAGTGTAATGTACTGTAGTGTAGTGTAATTTAGTTTAGTGGAGTGTAGTGGAGTCTAGTGGAGTGTAGTTGTGTAGTTGTAGTTGTAGTCTTGTGGAATGTAGTGTAGTGTAATGTAGTGTAGTGTAGTGGAGTGTAATGTAGTCGGTAGTCGTGTAGTGTAGTGAAGCGAAGCGACATCTGAACCTCCAAAAAGTGGTCCGAACCCCTAGTGTTTTTAACATTTTGACTTCAAAATGTGCTTCGCGCCACAACGGCGTGCACTTTTTCGACATCTCAACTGCCAAAAGTGGTCCGAGAATGGTGTGCTTTGTGCATTTTGACTTCCAAATGTGCTTCGCGCCACACCGGCGTGCACTTTTTCGACATCTCAACTTCCAAAAGTGGTCCGAGAATGGTGTGTTTTGGACATCTCAACTTCCAGAAGTGGTCCGAAGCTGGTGTGTCTTGTACATTTTGACTTGGAAATGTGCTTCGCGCCACAACGGCGTGCACTTTTTCGACATCTCAACTAGTAAAAGTGGTCCGAAGCTGTTGTGTTTTGTACATTTTGACTTGGAAATGTGCTTCGCGCCACAACGGCGTGCACTTTTCGACATCTCAACCTCCAAAAGTGGTCTGAACCTGGTGTGTTTTGGACATTTTGACTTCGAAATGTGCTTCGCGCCACAACGGCGTGCAATTTTTCATCTCTCATCTGGCCAGCTGGCTCCGCACCCGCCGCTTTAGAGCCCTCCGGAGCCCCAAATCATTGGAAAAACACAGTGTTTCGCGACTTTCCTACCTTTTCTCGCATCTGCATCTTCTTTCTTCTTACTCTTTCTCTTCTACTCTTCTTTCTTCTAATCTTTCTCTTCTCTCTGCCTCTTCCCTGCTCTGCTTTTCATCTGTCCATATTGTCGGAAAATTGACTTCTAAACTTCCTTCGATTAGTTTACAACATATATTCAAAGGAAGTTTAGGGGGAGAAACTTCCGTGTTACGGACTTTTAGAATGTCAGGGAAAGAGTTAGTCAAAGAAAGAGTTAGCAAAGAAAGAGTTCGTCAGGGAAAGAGTTAGTCAAAGAAAGAGTTAGTCAAAGAAACAGTTAGTCAGGGAAAGAGTTAGTCAAAGAAAGAGTTAGTGAGGGAAAGAGTCAGTCAAAGAAAGAGTTAGTGAGGGAAAGAGTTAGTCAAAGAAAGAGTTAGCAAAGAAACAGTTAGTCAGGGAAAGAGTTTGTCAAAGAAAGAGTTAGTGAGGGAAAGAGTTAGTCACAGAAAGAGTTAGCAAAGAAAGAGTTCGTCAGGGAAAGAGTTAGTCAAAGAAAGAGTTAGTCAAAGAAACAGTTAGTCAGGGAAAGAGTTAGTCAAAGAAAGAGTTAGTGAGGGAAAGAGTTAAGTCAAAGAAAGAGTTAGTCAGGATATGTGAGGTAGAAACAGTTAGTCAGGGAAAGAGTTAGTCAAAGAAAGAGTTAGTGAGGGAAAGAGTTAGTCACAGAAAGAGTTAGCAAAGAAAGAGTTCGTCAGGGAAAGAGTTAGTCAAAGAAACAGTTAGTCAAAGAAACAGTTTGTCAGAGAAAGAGTTAGTCAAAGAAAGAGTTAGTGAGGGAAAGAGTTAGTCAAAGAAAGAGTTAGTCAGGATATGTGAGGTAGTCAAAGAAAGAAATAGCAAAGAAAGAGTTAGTCAAAGAAAGAGCAAAGAAAGAGTTAGCAAAGAAAGAGTTCGTTAGGGAACGAGTTAGTCAAAGAAATTGTTCCCTCACTGCAAATGGGATTGCAAGTGGTGCTGGTGGAGGAGTTGCCGATGGAGTTTTGAAGGAAGTCTCGCACGAAATGCGTTTTTGAGAGATAGCAGATGCACGAAAGCCTATGTTTTTCCATGCAAAGTCCGTCCCCGAACCTCGATGATCTATCTCTGCGGTGCGACGGTTGCGAGACGGTCTCGTGTGTGGTCGGATCATGCTCGGATCATTCTCGGATCATTCTCGGATCGGTTCCGCATTGTAAATGGGGTGTCACTGTGTTTCGTGCATTTGCGGTCGACAGAATTCCATTGTGATTTGCAACTGTAGGATCGTTCCCGCAATGTAAATGGGATTGCAAGTTGTGCTGGTGGATGAGTTGCCGATGGAATTCCATTGTGATTTGCAACTCTAGGATCGTTCCCTCACTGCAAATGGGATTGCAAGTGGTGCTGGTGGAGGAGTTGCCGATGGAGTTTTGAAGGAAGTCTTGCACGAAATGCGTTTTTGAGAGATTGCAGATGTACGAAAGCCTATGTTTTTCCATACAAAGTCCGTCCCCGAACCTCGATGATCTACCTCTGCGGTGCGACGGTTGCGAGACGGTCTCGTGTGTGGTCGGATCATGCTCGGATCATGGGCGGATCATTCTCGGATCGGTTCCGCATTGTAAATGGGGTGTCACCTGTGTTTCGTGCATTTGTGGTCGACAGAATTCCATTGTGATTTGCAACTGTAGGATCGTTCCCGCAATGCAAATGGGATTGCAAGTGGTGCTGGTGGATGAGTTGCCGATGGAATTCCATTGTGATTTGCAACTCTATAGGATCGTTCCCTCACTGTAAATGGGATTGCAAGTGGTGCTGGTGGAGGAGTTGCCGATGCAGTTGTGAAGGAAGTCTCGCACGAAATGTGTTTATTTTGAGAGATAGCAGATGCACGAAAGCCTATGTTTTTCCATACAAAGTGCGTCCCCGAACGTCGATGATCTATAGCGGTGCGACGGGTGCGAGACGGTCTCGTGTGTGGTCGGATCATGCTCGGATCGGTCTCGGATCATGGTCGGATCGGTTCCGCATTGTAAATGGGGTTTCAACTGTTTTTCGTGCATGTGTGGTCGACAGAATTCCATTGTGATTTGCAACTGTAGAATCGTTCCCGCATTGTAAATGGGGTTGCAAGTGGTGCTTGTGGATGAGTTGCCGATGGAATTCCATTGTGATTTGCAACTCTAGGATCGTTCCCTCACTGTAAATGGGATTGCAAGTGGTGCTGGTGGAGGAGTTGCCGATGGAATTCCATTGTGCTTGGCAACTGTAGGATCGTTCCCGCAGTGTAAATGGCTGCGTCAAGGTTGCTTCGTGCTGTGGCTGCATTGGTAATACTATTGTCTTTTGCAGCTGGATCTCGTAGATCGTACTGGAGTGGCTGCATGAAGGCTGCCACAGTGATTTGTCAGCAGATTTTCTCCATTTTGGCGCTAGTGATTTTCCTTCTAAAAATCCTTTTAAAAAGTGCTTCAAAATCGCCTTTTTTTCGCTCTGGCGTCGAGATCCGGTTTTGGAGCTACAATTTCCGACGCCGTTGCGCGTAGTTCTATTGTGTTTTGGAACTCAATCTCTGCAGATCGCATTGTAATGGCTGCGTCAAGGTTGCTGCGTGCTGTGGCTGCATTGGTAATACTATTGTCTTTTGCAGCTGGATCTCGTAAATCGTATTGGAGTGGCTGCATGAAGGCTGCGACATGGATTTGTTAGCAGATTTTCTCCATTTTGGCGCTAGTGATTTTCCTTCTAAAAATCCTTTTAAAAAGTGCTTCAAAATCGTCTTTTTTTCGCTCTGGCGTCGAGATCCGGTTTTGGAGCTACAATTTCCGACGCCGTTGCGCGTAGTTCTGTTGTGTTTTGCAACTCAGTCTCTGCAGATCGCATTGTAATGGCTGCGTCAAGGTTGCGTCGTACTGTGGCTGCATTTGTCATACTATTGTCTTTTGCAGCTGGATCTCGGAAATCGTCTTGGAGTGGCTGCATGAAGGCTGCGAAATGGATTTGTTAGCAGATTTTCTCCATTTTGGCGACTAGTATTTTTTTTTGTTGCACGTAGGTTTAGAGCAGTGTGAAGTGTGGGGCGTAAAGAGTGCAGTGTGAAGTGTGAAGTGTGAAGGAAGCAGTGGGAAGTGAGAAGTGTGAAGTGTGGAGTGTGAAGTTTAAGTTTGGAGTGCGAAGGGCGCAGTGTGAAGTGTGAAGTGTGAAGTGTGAGGTTTGGAGTGTGAAGGAAGCAGTGAGAAGTGAGAAGTGTGAAATGTGGAGTGTGAAGTGTGGAGTGTGAAGTTTCAGTTTGGAGTGCGAAGAGCGCAGTGTGAAGTGTGAAGTGTGAAGTGTGAGATTTAGGAGTGTGAAGGAAGCAGTGAGAAGTGAGAAGTGTGAAGTGTGAAGTGTGGAGTGTGAAGTGTGGAGTGTGAAGTGCGAAGTGTGAAGTGTGAAGTGTGAAGTTTGGAGTGTGAAGGAAGCAGTGAGAAGTGAGAAGTGTGAAGTGTGAAGTGTGGAGTGTGAAGTGTGGAGTGTGAAGTGTGAAGTTTGGAGTGCGAAGAGGGCAGTGTGAAGTGTGAAGTGTGAAGTGTGAGATTTGGAGTGTGAAGGAAGCAGTGAGAAGTGAGAAGTGTGAAGTGTGAAGTGTGGAGTGTGAAGTTTGAAGTTTGGAGTGCGAAGAGTGCAGTGTGAAGAGTGTGGAGTGTCTCTCGCTGAAAAAATCAAACGGTTGTCGAGGGAAGGACACGGTCGGGACAGGGTGTCTTTGAACTATAGGTCATTTATGTTTGGGAAACTTCCGCCGCCGGCTTGCCCGGGTCTATGTTATTTTTGGTATTAGTTTTAAATGATAGCTTTGGTCACTTGGGTGTTGCCATTGCCGAGGTGATCTCCATTGCATGGATACAATTTCGGCTGCACACAGCTCTAGAGATTGTCCTCCAAATGTTGGTGGCACCGTGGCACCAGTTCTCTCGCTGGTGGAAGCTGAGTTTAAGGGGCAAACTCAGCTTCCATTGTTTTTTTTAAGGGGCAATTCTTGGGATACATTGAGCTGTTTGGCAAGGTTGTTTTGTATGCTGTGCGCTGTATGATGTGCTTCGGGTTTTGCTCGTTGTGTCATTCATATTCATTTATTATACGTATTAAAATGTTTCTAATGCAACCAATGCTTAACACTGGTGACCTAGTGGTTTGGGATTGGATTCTTAGCCCCCCATGGCTACCTCTGTGGTCTATGGACCCTTTGCACAAGCAAAGGGTGTAGATGTGTCTACTTGTAAGGTGTGATCGTTGCATATATATATATATATATCATTGCTACAAAAGAAGTGCGGCCCAGTATACGATTGCCATTCTGGTCAGGTATCGTTTGATTTTGATCCCTGTAGTTGTTGATAGTTGTTGTATGTTGCTGTTGGGATTGCTCCTGATTTGCAATGATGGTAAAGGTCGTGCCCTGTTTGAATCCGAACCACCCACTTGGAATCGTGTTGCTCCCTTGCCTCAGCTTGGAATCTGTGGCTATTCTGGGGCTCACCAGGTACGACTCCGATGCCATTGTTGATGGTTATACCACCCCTAAAAAATGGGGGCAATTGGGGATGGTTTATTTTGACCACATTATACGCACAAGTGTGCACCATTTAAGGGAGACCACAAGCAACGGACACTCCATTCCCACAAGCATCCCATAGCTTGAAAAATACCACTCCAACGAGATGCCGAAATTTGAAGATGTCCATAGTGTGGGGCCTGAAATGAAGTCGAGCAACAAATTTGTTGATGGAAATCCAAAGCCAAATTCAGACAGGTCCAAAGTTCATTTTATCTGCAATCAGGATCAATCCGGGTAATTGGCGGTCAAATTCAGGATTTGTATTTATATATATATATATCTCTCTCTCTCTCTCTTTCTCTCTCTCTCTCTCCTTTTTCTTACAGAAAAAAAATCTAATGGAAAATCAAAATATATAGTTCCCTTATCACATTTGACAATACGAACACCCGCAAATCTTCCTCGAAAATCCAGCCATCATCCAACGAGCGAGGTACTGGCCCTGGCCATCTGCTCCTTCGAAGTGCGTTATGAACGAACCCCCGTCGGTTGGCTGATCTTTCTCATCGTTCTGCATGCGAAACGACGCAGGGCTACGTCATGCTACGTCCCCGAGTTGGGGACGGGAGGTCGATGAAATTATGATTATGGAAACCATGGGAAGTATGAGGCATATATATATATATATGTATGTACGTATATGATCGTATATGAATAATACGGTCTCATATTATGTACATATATATATAGATATAGATATATATTATAGTAATATATATATATATAATATGTATATCTATATACCTACTTGTACCGAGTGTGCCTCCTGCGCCGCCTCCGCTTACCCCTCCCCTTCACCAACCACCGCTGCAGCTGCGGCGGTGCCCTTGACCCTTTGGGAGACCATCGCGCCGCCTGTGCCACCTCCGGATTCCTCCGCGTCCGGTCCATCCCCCTGGAAAGCGCCGTGGCCAGGATATGCCGCGAAGCAGGGGGCCGTGTCCGTACAAACGTCCTCCTGCGGAACATGAATCTCCCCTCCCCTCCCCCGGACGCGCGCGCGATTGAAGTCCTCGTCAGCGGAGTGCCGGTGTGACACGGCGCGCAGATCGCAATCGACGCTACCTTGGTGAGCCCCATCCACCGCAACGGTGAACCCCGCCCCAGAGCCGCCAGTGAACCCGGCGTCACACTCAACCACGCCGCGCGCCGAAAATGCACCCAGACCTACCCTGAATTCCAATCCAGCACTCGCTGCCGTCCTGCAGTGTTTGGGTTGGAGGTAGGAGGCCGGTGGTCGCCCGAAGCCGTGCACCTCGTCCGGCACCTCGCCCGAGCACGCGCCCGCACCGAACCCACCTGGGCACGATCAACGGCAGCCGCCGCCTGGGCGCTGCGCTGGGCCGCGCTCGCATCCGTTGCCGCCACGCGACCACTCGCAGCGACCCTCCTGGACTTCCCTGCAGAGGCAATGGACGGCCCCCCCCTCCCCCAGCTCCTCGCCGAAACCCGGTGGGAGGACCCCCCCCTCACCCAGCCGCTTGCCCCCTTGACACAGTGTAAAGACCTCTCGTTTCTGACGCGCGCCGGCGGATTTGGGTGGGTGGAAAAAAACACTTAAATACCACACGCACATAAACTACATCACCCTGAGCATCCTGGTTTCATTTTGTCATTTTCTCCAGACCCCATATACGAGACAGGCTGGGGATGTTCTAAGTTCTAAGTGTGCGATTTTGATACGTTCGAAGTGATTGTCGATCTATATATCAGCTGGAACTCAGCAAGATCCCAACCAAAAATGCACAGAGAGACTCTCAGATGAAACCCTGAAACTCTAAGCTCACATCTCAAACAGCGAAAATCATTTGGGTGGCAATTTGTGGGATTTCAAGGCCAGTCTTGTGAGCGCAAATTGAGGAGCTAGGTTCATGCAAACTTACAACAATAGAAAGGTGTGGTTTTGATTGAACTTAGGGTACCCGCAAGTTTGATTCTTCATCATTTTTCCCTAGTAAAACAGTTTTTTCCTGTAGTGGTAGAGTGGTGCCATATGGTACCTCCCTTTTTACAGTAATCCCTTTCTTATTTTTTTTTGGACAAATCTCATGGGTCATTAAATGTCCCCATTGAACATCACCCAACCATTAGGTATATGGTCTATAATGGCTACTATAAGGTGATGTCCAATATTCCCAAAATGGGACAGTTACCAACCCCTGAATCTACGTGGAATGCAGTGGATGATTAAACAAGTTCCCTCCAAACCCCGGGTTCGCCCACACTCAAACAAAACATCCGAACAAATCCAAACAATATGATATACTTATCACCAGAGGATGAATGAAAACACTGGCTATGCGCAGTGATTTTGACTTTAAGTTTTCAGGAGTTGGGGTTTTAATTTAGGGTTTAGGGTTTTAGGGTTTGTTGCTTTCGAGTGTGTTGTTTTGGAAAATAAACAACTTAAACCCTACGCAGGGATTTGAACATGTCAAAGGATATGCGGGATTCGCCGCGGGCAAACCTAGGGTTTGCAGCGAACAGGTTTCATTCAAACAACCATTGCGTTCTCACATACGAAGCTAGATGCCTGGGCGTTGATGATGCCTGGTCATTTGAAATTTCCATTTGGCGGACTCCAGTTTGGCCCATACCCAAAGGACGAACCACAGGGTACTAGACACCACCCACGCCTCAGGAAGCGGGGAAGAGGTGTCGCAATGGTTGACGAATTGTGCCGAAGCAGAGCGACGGAAAAGACACACGCTTCAAGCAGCTGGCTGATTCCAACATGTTCATGTTCTTTTCACATTTGGAAAGGAATATTCAGTAACATTTGGGTCTGAAAGCAAGGGTCACGGTATAGATTTCCATCGATTGCAGATTTCTCAACATTCCAGGTCTGTTGGTTGAATAGCGTTTAAACGTCTAAACATCATTATATAAACATTTAAAAGGGTCTAAAAGGTATTAAAAGGTGAAGCTGTTGGAAGATTTAGAAGATAAATCAAGAACCCTGATCCGCGCCAGGAATGAAGAAAGTGTTGGCAGAACTCTTTGCTCTGGACAATTTGACAGACGTGCTCTTCATCATCGTCGGATGGTGGGACCTCAGCCGTGTTGGGGAGGGTGGGTAATTGGAGGATCATCCCACGGATCATAAGTGGTGAATTAATTTTAATTACCATACTCAATTAACTTTTAATCCATTTATAGATATCTAATTATAGTATATAATCTATTACCTACAGTAATTATCTAATAATCCATTTATACTCATTACCCATTCCTGCAACCCTTTTAATCCATTTATAGGTAACCCACTGAATGGGGACTTGAACTCCACTTGGGCGGATGATCCAAGTAGATTGAACAAGTTCACGTCACCGATGCGTGACAAACGGTGATAGACCGGTGATTTTTTCTAAATAGATATCTAGTAATACCAGCACCAATCGTATACAAATTATACAATATAATAGTAAGAGTAGTAATGCCAAAAGAATGATTGTTGCAATAGTAGCGATAATGGCAACAATGACAATAATGATAATAGTAAGTATACACGGACACACTGTGTATACATAATGTCACATTATATATAAGTCTGCTTTTACAATCCAGTGGGCGTCTTGCGCGCTTTGGGAACATGCAGTGAACGGTGATGACGTGAATTGTGGTGCCTCAACTTTGTGCGAACGTAGTGTAATTCTTGCAAGCACAATCAAACACAGTCCTGCTGCCAGACACCAAGTGCTTGCAAATCCATATACAGTAATTAGTAGTTACTTTGAGAAATCAGGGGTACGTAACATCATCTGAGCCCTTGCTGGGATTTTTGGTGGGAGCCAACATGAGACAGCCATGCAGGACGACACCTGTCTTTTAGAAGCTTAACAAGCTGACATTGATGGAGCAATGTATTTAGCCAACGTGGTGGTTGCTTTATGATCCATCTCTCACTTCTGTTCTTTCCTACATATAAATTATCCTTATCATCCATGTTCCTGTCATCCTTTCGGGTGATCGCAACGACCCCGATCTCCATCGTTCCAGGTTCGCGTTGATTCGGCGCCTGGCCTTGCCTCCCGGCATCGATGCCTGGATGGCAGCGTTTTGTGCCTGGAACTGGCTGAAGCTGCTCTACAGCCTCCGCGGTGAACTCTGGAACCTCGGCCCTGGCGGCCCCGGCGGCCTTAGGCTGGTGCTTCGCCTGCTAGGAGGGATGTTTGATGATGGTTTGATGATGGTATATGGTTAACTATAATATGTTTTATACGTTGTTTGTTGGGTTTTCTAGAAGATTGTTGGTGGCCCCTGCTTGATGACCCATGTATAGCTACATCCATGAAATTCGGGATATTTATTCACATGGAAGTTTTGAGCGAATTCTGATGGTACCATGGTAACATGTACTAACAGTAGTTTGATCACTTCTTTTTTGAAATTCCACCCTTCTTTTCATCAACCAGGGCCACCAGGGTTGATGGGTCGGGGGGGTCAGAGATCGCCCCATGCCAGGTATATGTTTGAAAACCAGAATTGCAACGTACCCCCATTCCATGATATCCGACATTTATTGTAGAAAGCGCCAAGGTAACAAGAAACGATATGATTCTATATGCAAGATTAATCCACATCAGCTGTGCCTTGAACATGTGCTGTTTTTGTTTTCCCACCACATCAGCTTTATCACCAGGATTGGGCCACGGCTCTTGCCAATTTTCTTTGCTCTGCGAGAGTCCTTGGGTTTCTTCTTCGTGGTATTTATGGCTGTAGCTGCCTCGTCCCACGCGTACTACGACCTGCAGCTGCGCATGGAAGCGGCCGAAGTGGTGGCCGGAAAGTGGTACCGGCCCCTCTTCGAGGCATACACGGCGGAGCCTTGGCGCCTGAAATAGCAAGGCTTGGCACCTCATGGCAGCTCAATGGGACCTCAATGGGACCTCAATCATGCTCAATCTTGTTCTATTTTATGGGGATCAGACATGATAAGACATGATAATAATCAGCTGAGAAATACAAACCACAATTAGACGTTTGTATCATAGGTGTCAAACACCCCCCCCCTCAGACCCCCCTCCCCAAATAAATAGTCTCCAATGAGGATTTGCCTGGTTACCACTTGCCACTGAGAATCGAAAGCTGGAGGATCATTCCGATGATGAGAGTGGTCAGCGCGAGATTGGCTAGACTAGAAGATTCTTCCAGAGAATGATCTATGTTCAGGGTTTCCATCCTTTAAAAAGCATACCACGCATTTGTTGCTTCTCTTGCTGGTTTTGGTTGTTTGATGGAAAACGAACAGATTAATTGGAACGCAAGTTGAACATATTTCGAAATAACCTGGAAATAGGTGCATTCCATGGAAAAAAAGAGGAAATTTTTAGATTTTGGAATAACCTGGAAAAAGGGTAGAAATAATAAGGTGAAAACAAGGAAAGTAATAGCAAACAGTGAGATTTTGAAAATAATCTGGAAATAACTTGGAAATAACATAGAAATAAGGTGGAAATAGGGTGAAAACCATGGAAAAATGCAGGGGAAAGTGAGATTTTGGAAATAACTTGGAAATAACCTGGAAATAAGGTGGAAATAAGGTGGAAATAAGGTGGAAACAATGGAAAAATGCAGGAAAAAGTGAGATGTTGGAAATAACCTGGAAATAACTTGGAAATAACCTGGAAATAAGGTGGAAATAAGGTGGAAATAGTGTGAAAACGATGGAAAATGCAGGGAAAAGTGAGATTTCGGAAATAACCTGGAAATAACATGGAAATAACCTAGAAATAAGGTGGAAATAACGTGGAAATAAGGTGCAATTGGAAATAACTTGGAAATAACCTGGAAATAAGGTGGAAACAATCGAAAAATGCAGGAAAAAGTGAGATGTTGGAAATAACCTGGAAATAAGGTGGAAATAAGGTGGAAATAAGGTGGAAACAAGGTGGAAACAATGGAAAAATGCAGGAGAAAGTGAGATGTTGGAAATAACCTGGAAATAAGGTGGAAATAAGGTGGAAATAAGGTGGAAATAAGGTGGAAACAATGGAAAAATGCAGGAGAAAGTGAGATGTTTGAAATAACCTGGAAATAACTTGGAAATACCCTGGAAATAAGGTGGAAATAAGGTGGAAACAATGGAAACATGCAGGAAAAAGTGAGATGTTGGAAATAACGTGGAAATAATTTGGAAATAACATGGAAATAAGGTGGAAATAAGGTGCACATGGAAATAAGGTGGAAATAAGGTGGAAATAAGGTGGAAATAAGGTGGAAATAAGGCGGAAACAATGGAAAAATGCAGGAAAAAGTGAGACGTTGGAAATAACCTGGAAATAACCTGGAAATAATTTGGAAATAACCTGGAAATAACCTGGAAATATCCTGAAAATAAGGGGGAAATAAGGTGGAAATAAGGTGACAAATGGAACAATTACAGGAAAAAGTGAGATGTTGGAAATAACATCGAAATAGTCTAGAAAAGTTGGTAAAAACGAAGGGGCATGAAGAATGCAGGAAAAACAAGTGTCTAGACATAAATGGCAAAATAAAGAAAATCTCATGTGGAACGTTGGCAGCAAAAAGGGTCCGTTCAGGCGGTGATAGCTTATAGTCAATGTTGTGTTGGGATTGTTAATTAAAGATCACACCGTGTAACGAGTGGTTTAGACTTGCTTCTCAAGTAGATTTCATGGGAAAAGATGCAAAGTCTACAGCCTGGAAATAACCCTTAAATAAGGGTTATTTCCAGGTTATTTCCTGCTTATTTTTATTTCCACGTTATTTCCAGGTTATTTTCTTATTTCCATGTTATTTCAAGGTTATTTGTTTGGGTAGGGGGGTCTGGAGGGGGGGGGTTCGTTTTTTGTGATTGTAGGGTATCAAGAGTGGCCGTGGATTTTGAACACTTTGTGAGATGGTCTTAACATGGTTTAACTGAACCCTTATCAAGATGGTATCAATATGTACCGACCAAAACACATAGACCATGGGAATAGGATAGGCTGGGAACTTTTGGTCCCAACTGCACACTGTTTGATGCACCTTCTTCAGGGTAAACTGACACTTTAGGTGCGTTCTTGATATTACATCATGTAATATGTCAATATATGTCAATATGTAATATAATGTTTTTGATACAAATCCCGGAGCAAACCGATCGGGAGATCCATGATTCCATCCATTCAATGCATTTCAAGCGCTACTGCGCATTGATCAGTGCCCAAGACCACTTGAAACTAAAAGTAGAGCTAGCTCGTCACTTGAGCAGTGTTCAAAACCCCCCGTTGATTGAAGATTTCAATGAGGGTCCTACTATCCAAAATATGTTGGGATAGAAAAATGAACAATCCAACTATGGAAACCCTTACAGAGGGACGAATAAAGGTTTTGAACACTGCTCACGACTGTCGCAGATTTTTGCTTCGCTCAGGTGTTGCAGATAGGTCGGCTTGGCATTTGGGGGGACTTCGATCTTTACGAGTTGCATGGAGATGTTTTAGACCTCTGAACAATCCGAAGACAGAAAAACTTGTGCCTGTTTGGGCATTTGCGGGCCAAACGTAGTCTTGCTCTACACTTAATTAGTTGTCTACCAAATTGAGGTCCAGAATATAGAGCCTCGCAGTGTCATTGTCAAATTGATCCCTTCAAGGTTATTCATATATTATGCTAGCTGCTGGGTCCTGGGTTTACGTGTCTCTTCAATGGCCATTTCAGGTATCTAAACTGGAGGTATTGTACCTAGCAAGCCATATTTCAAGGCCGGGTATATTCCATTCAGTACATAGCCCTTACAAAGATCTTACATGACCTTACGCATTGTAGGAACCTCCAATTTAGGTACCTGAAATGGCGACTTTTTTTTTCATGTTTGGATTGCATCTCGCACATCAGAATCCATACAAAACAAATCAATCTGAGAGCTACAATGGTGTGTAATGGTTTCCCATTTTTTTAAATCCGCAACGGAGGTTCGTATTTATGGGGTGAGTTGAAGCGACCAACCAGTAGTCAACCCATGGCAATCCAACCGTGTTCTGTTTCCATTCGCAATGTCGGAGGTAAAGACGCTTGTTTTCAACGCCTGTTTTGTACTGGTATCTTGGATGACGGAGTTATTTCCAACCAAATCCAGTCAGAAATCGTCTAGTTTTGACACACAGAGGTGCTAGCCGGCAGCCAATGCAGCCAAGGTTTGAAGGATTGGATCCCAGCTTGGAGCGAGATCAGTGGGACAACGTCACGGGAATCTTAAATCCGGTGGATCCTCCACCCAGCCCCGACGGGGTGTGACTGGGACGACGTCGACGAGTGCCGGTGTCGGTGTCGTGTTATGTCATGTTGGTGGGTGAGATAAACTGGGGGAGTAGGGAGAAAATGAGAAAAAGAACGTCTGCAAAGATAGAAGTCGGAGAGTCGGAGCTGTTCCATTTTGATATTTTTTTCGATGCTGATTGAAGTTCTGTTTGATTCACTTCCTTCGGGCGGAACTACAAGCCGACTAGTGATGGCATCCCTGAAGGGACAGCAAAAGAAATGGTGGGACACCCTATCCCTGAAAATGGGAATGATGGTGGCTTACAACTACTCACCAAAACGGGCCATCGAAAAGTCGGGTCAGGTTGGGTCCTCCCACGCCTACATCGCCCATCATTGCCCATGCTTGATTTACGGTTGAACAATGTTGAACAAACAGAGGGGAAAACACGAGAGGTCGCTGGCGTCATGTATTTGAGCAAACTGTAACGATAGACCTGACTGCGATGTCACTGGAAATGACCGGTAGTAGGGAGGCTCTCTCAGAATGATCCAAAATGGTTTTATTATTATTGACGCGTGGAGATGGGAAGAGGTGTGGCAGTATTTCAGGCTGGTGAACTATGTGTAATTTATCCATTTATTTTTATTGATGAATTTCCCATTAAGCCCATCAATTTTACTATCTTATTGGAATAAGGATTGAATTAATCATATCCCATCAATGCCCATTGGCACATTGGTCTACATATTCATTAGGTACGTTATATCCCATTAATCTGATGATCCTGAGGTACATCTTTGCTCATTTGCTCTTCTTCGTCACTGGCGTGGGCGTCACGGTGCTGTTGATGAACCTGCTCATTGGCATCCTAAGCGCCTTGATGGTGAGGATTGGTGGGGCCCTTTCCGGTCAGCTATATCAACGAGAAATCCTAAACTTCCAGGAAGATGATCTCGGTTGTCCATGGGTTTTCAGCCCATTCGGAGTCTCTTTTTTTGGCTGGTCGGTATTTTATATGCTAGGGTTATGGACGGTAACCTTTTCCTACAGCACTAAGAAACTATTCAGTTATAATCCAATCCCATCCCCCTAATATCCGACACCCCCCATTGAATGGCCCCGGGCAAGAGGATTTATCCCTTACGAAACCATGGTGACTCTGGGTGGTGTTTCATATTGTTTAAGTTTAATATGAATTGTTCTTGTTTGGGAGCCCTACAAAGCATTGCTACCAGTTCTATGCTGTGATTGCACATGATGTTCCAACGCACTAGTGATCATCGATGGTGCTAAGCTTAAGGTTGATTTAAGAAATGTTTACTTGCATATATATATATAATTATATATATATATATGGTTTCAGATTTGAATGCTACATGATGCGCAGCTGCATACGGTTAGACATGGCCATAGCATTTAGACACATACAGTCTGTGAAAGTATTGCTAGCTTGCTTGCGGCTTAAGATTGTCATGTTCCGTTTCCATCCCTACCTGTGGACTTTGGTCCTTTTTCAGAACCGCATGGTTTTCAAATTGGTTGTATACATCCACCCGCTGGAAACCTAGAATCTAGGCCAGCGATGTGATCCGCCTGAACAATACAATCTGGAAAAATGGGATGCTTTACTCATCCACCGCAATGGCCTTGTTTAGGTGCCCCCTTTGGAACCCACCACCAAGCACATTCATTGTAGACTTCCGAACCAGGTACTGACTTCGGATTCTATGAGCAGAAATCCTCGGAACTCTTCAACCGCGCGAGAGCGAAGATGATGAAGGAAAGGTGTCAACTAGGAACAAAGGCTGCGAAAAACACCTGTGACGTTGTTTAGGGCAGTCTGTAGCAACAAGGTTAAAGTACGGATCAGAAACTGCTGATGGCTGATGCTGATTTCACCAGCCAAGATCGGAATTCAACCAAGCAAAACACCCAATAACAGTGGGAGAAAGGAAGCTTAAACTTGCCACCGGCGCAGTGCCAAGAGATTTGAACAAAACTAGAAAAGTGTTTCGGAGCGTCACTTGAGGCGAACCAAAGCTGCCAATCTACTTTGCGGCAACGATTTGGCTTAAGTCATCGGCTCTGAATATTTCATGGTATTTCTCAAAATGGAGGATCTTCAAGACTATGGGTTTCAGTACAAACACGATAATTATTGGGTGATTTGGGGATGCCACCATTTTATACAAGAACCATTAAGAACCCATCACCCCTAAGAAGTATTGAAAAGTATTATATAAAAGATATTAAAAGTATTAAACAAAACATAAGTAGCAATCTGGCCTCCTTTTTTTTGTTCCAAGCCACCCCGAAACCATCCGAAACCACTGGGCCAAGCTTCAGGAGATTGGCAGCCGGCCAAGTACCCTTGTGCTTCAATCTGCCTGGGCTCGGTGGCTGAAACTTGCCAGCATGGCGAAGCAGAAAGAGAGCCTTGACAGATGAGGGATGGCCATTGAGCCGCGGATGGCCATGAGACCCACTAACATCCACTAACCCTTCGGTCATCAAAGATGGCCACGGTTGGGAATAAATGGAGTGCATGGGAAAATCATCTATATAAATGGTGGATGTTCCATTCTGTTGTATCACCGGCGAGTAGAAGCAAAGGTGGAACCACTAATTAGAAGACGATCTCATGATTGGAGAGGTTGTGTTCGGGTTAACCATTTTGTTTTGGTCTGATTTTTGAGCCAGTTTTTTGACAGATAATCAGCCTACTAGTTTTTGGGGTACTATTCCCGTTCTTGTTGGTTGATACCGGCCATTTTTTTCTGTGAAATCATTTGGAATGCTAAAGTATGATAAAATTTGGTGATCTTCTTGTGTTGGTTTTGGATCTTCTTTTTTGGCTGTCAAGCGCCATTCAATAGTTCAACAATGTTCAACACATGACAACACCCGTTTTCTCAAGTGCTGCCGCTGCCTCAGTATCACTGGAGCATCCACCTGTGTGCCGATGCTCCTTAAGTGCGCGGCACAGCCTTTGCAGCTCGTGCTGGGAAAGGAATCCTTTCAACTGCTGGTGGAGACTCCCCTGGTGCCCTTCGTGCGATATTCAGGTGGGAAGCGCGAAGCGGTTCAGAGAGAGTTTTTGGATGTTTTTAAGGTGGATTCACCCTTGGTGCTTTTCTCTTTCTGTATTGGAAAATAGTTTGGGATGGAGTGGAGCCAGCAAGGCATGCTTACTGTTCAATTGGGTCCTCCCATCCATTTGAATGCGGTTTCTTGACATTTGCTCCTACAATGTCATAGAATTTGAACGGCTCAATGGATCAAAGCGACATGAAAATAAGCTGTGATAAGTTGTGCCACTCGCACATGAGAGCGTTTCCATTTCCACATTTCCCACGTAGTCTAAAGCCATGGACCCAAACCGAAAAGATTTTTCCAGCCCCATGTGGGTCATCGCACGAGGTCCCGGCCTGGTGACGCTTCTGGCAGTGCTTTTATCTCCTGTGATCTTTGCATCTCTGCTGTGAGTTGATGGAGTCGTCCCAAAAATGGTGCACTCAAATGCATATGATTCCAAATCACACACATAAGCATAATATATATATATATGTAAATATATATAATATATAGATACATACAAATAATACATAATTACATATACACACACAAGTCATATATACCGTATGTTGGCAATGTTCAACGTTCTTTTAATGCTCGCGACGAAGCTTGACGGCCTCACCCCTTCAATCAAGCATGCCTAGCTGAGAAATCCCTTATATCAAACAGCATTAAAAAGTCAAATCATCGAACTAATTGGGGGTTGCCCAGCCAGCCATGTTTGATTGCCAGATGGCTAGCTAACTTTTTGACAGGGGCCAGGGAAGGCTTCTTAAAACCCACTCAAAGGCTGGAGAAAGTAAACCTACCATCACTTCTATTCCCCCTATCTATAAATGGGATAAGCTACCTAGGGTACTTATTCGCAGGCAAATAAAAACCACTCACCAAGTGTGATTATCCTCCAGGCATTCCCCATCTAAATGCTGAGGTGCTCTCGCTGGCGATTTTGATTCCTGGATGCACTTCTTTCGCGCCTGAATCCTAGGTATTTTAAAAAGCATTGCTGTGTTTTTGACCGCCGTTTTCACGGGTTTTATTGGGTATTGATATTGCACACACACACATAATCATTATAGATATATACACATGTGTGTATAATATATTTACATAATTTTACATATATGCAGCACTTTATATTTAAACAAATGTAGATATGCACAACATTTAGATAATTGCCATGTTAAGAAATAATTCCCAGAGGCAGTTTCGCACCAGCAATTCACAGCCTGTCAGGATCATTTCGCTGATCCCTGCAGTGGCTTTGCGCGTGACCGCGCTGCGACATTTGCTCAACGGTGGCTTGGGTGTCCGTGCGGACGACGCCAACAAGTCCGCATGGTTTGCCAGTCAGTGCGGCACCTCGAACAGCATGGCGTGGGTGGCAAACCAGCCGTTGTCAGCGCAAATTGTGTCATTCTTTTTCCAAAGGTATCACTATAGGTACTACAACCTCAACAGTCAATCATTCATCAATAGGGGTTTTGAATGGTTTTTTCTCCTCCATCCTTTTCAGGTTTGCATTGGCCAAAGACGGATTTGTTTGACTGATTTGAGTTTCTGGCACGCCGCAGAGGAGTCAAAAATTCGTCGGAACAGCGCCTGTTTGAGTGTCATTTTCTCGCTTGAATACTGAGCAATTGCAAGTGCCGCGTAACTATCCATGATCGAAGTCACCCAACTGCACCATTGTCAAAGCTGGCTAGCCAGGTCTGAATTTGGATGAATTGGGATAATTGTAGATGTAATTAGTCAGTAATCCCTTCCTCCTAAGATTAAATACCCCTTTTTGAAACTGTGGTTTCGTATTGAATCTGTTCATTTTGGGGGGCCCGATGACCCATGCGGATTCCGAGGCATAGTGGTGCTCTACGGGGGTGACCCTGATAGTTATAGCGGTGCACGGATTCTTGGCCAACAACCCCGCGGATTCTACGCTGCTGAGAGGACCTTTAAGGTCCTGTATCTATACGTACAATTATATGTATATAATATATATATATCTATCTATCTAATCTAATCTAATCTAATCCTAATCCTAATCCTAAATCCTAATCCTAATCCTAATCCTAAATCTAATCTAATCTAATCTAATCTAATCTATCTATCTATCTATCTACCCAAAGTGTGTCAATATCGTCATTGCATGTCCATGGTCCTTTAAAGTCAGGAAATCCTCGGCGATGAGTATTGATCTCAATAGCTGACGTATGTAGTTGCCTGCGCCCGAGCGGTCACTCAAAAGTAGGTGTGGGCATCGGCAAGTGTATAGCACGGATTCACATGGATTCACATCATGTTCATAATTCATATCCCGGGAATTGGTTGGAGGGAAAATCGGACGGAAACCCCTATGTGGGTAAAAACCGTGCTTTCGGGTGAATTGTTTCCCTTCAACCGCTAAATCCATCCGTTGGTCATGTTGATCATCATGTTTTTCGTGTTTTTCAAGGTTTCAAGAGTCTCCAACCTCTGATTGGTTTGTAAATACTTGGTGGTCGTGTTAAGTCACCCCTAGCCGTAAAAAGTCGTCCCTTTGTGGTGTGCCATTTGCGGGTTTACAGTCTGAAATGCTTTGGTCACTAGACAACCTTTCTTTTTTCGTGGTGTGCGCAGGGTTTTTTGGATGGCTAACATGGGGATTCTCATGCTGTTTGGCTTGTTTGGCTCAGATGTCATCAGACGAACGGAGAACTGTTTGTTAAATGTTATCTCTCGTCTCAGACGTTGGTGCAAACAAGGAAAGGGAAAGGAAAGTATAAACTGGTGATTTAACCGAACATATACTGTGTGTATATATATATACACCATTGTATACCATTGTAACCGAGCAAACTCTGCCTTCGAGTGATTTTGGTTCATCCCATCGCGTGGTCAGCTGCGGTCAGCTTCAAGGAAAGCCTTCGAGGCGACGCGCGGGGAGCTCCGTGAGACGCACACTTCTTTGGTGGAGTACCTTGGTTCCAGTTGGTTTCACCAACTTCATATTGGGTTTTTAAAACCAACAAATCATATGAAACCCAGCTTGGTTTAACTGATATAACTTTGGTTTCAGGACATATTGGGTTTTCATAGCCTGGCTGATCTCAAAAACTCGTGAACATGTGTGTTTGTCATTGAGGTCATGAACATGTTAATGTCAATGAACATCCAAAATCTTTTAGAGATCCAAGAGCTATTTTGGTGCTCAGGGAACCGGGCATTGGCCTGTAGCCACTTTTTCAGGTTTTTCGACATTGTCAGCCAATGGCTGGGCCTGGTGGTTTGGGGCCTGGTGGTGTCGATTCCTACGATGGGCCCCAGAGTAACAAGTCCCTCCATAGAGGAATCCTGAGATTCGAAACCACTTGGTGCGCGTGAGAAGAACTTCAGTTTTTTTGGTGTCATCATTACCATGGTGAATGAAAATCAATGAAAATCCCTGAAACGGAGGTAGCTGGGAAGAGCATCTCACTGAACGCAACGGGGGGAATCTTCTGTGTTGCTAAGTTTGACTACTAGAGGGTATATACACCTG